GAGAGAGAGAGAGAGAGAGAGAGAGAGAGAGAGAGAGAGAGAGAGAGAGAGAGAGAGAGAGAGAGAGAGAGAGGCCGTATAGCAGTGTATACATTCGTGGAACCAACACACCGTCATCAAGTTCACAGGAAGGACAGTTTTCCCACCATCATGACGGTATGGGACCTGAAAGGCGACCTGGAAACTGAGGTTAAGGCGGCACAGGACGAAGAACTGCAGAAGAAGAGCAGGGAGTATACAAAGAAGATAGTTGACGATAAGGATGCAAGCCTTAGGGATAGATTGTCAGCATTCACTGTCCTCCATGCTGCGAACATGGACAGGATGGAGAAGACGATGGATGCGATGTCTGACAAATTCAAGCAAGAGTTTCAGAAGTTGATGGTGACACTGCTCAGCCAACTATTGCCATGTTCATCCCCTAAGCAGCCAAGTCCTGCAGAACATTCCCCCCAACCTGTAAGAGTAAAGGTAAAACGCCAGATCTCATACTATCAGCTCCCCGACAATGTCAGCAAACTCCAGTTTGCTATCAGCCACATGAAGGACGCGGCCAAAGGATGGGCAACTGCTGAAATTTTAACAGAAGGGGAAGTAGAGGACGACGTGCAGGAAGTCTCATCGGAGGACTTCTGCAACTGGATGTTGGAGAGACACTTGCCTGTAACAAGGGAGGACAAGGTACACGACAGGTTAACGGAACTGGCACAGCAACCGTTTTGGGGATCGGCCGGCGACCTAATCCAAGAGTTGGACCGCCTGCTGCAGACGCCTGACCTGGAGTTGGGACAGAAGCCCCTTATGCACCATTTTATGAGGGGGCTCCCACACAGGTTGGCAGCCCTGAGGTTGGAGCAGGTTTTGAGGTTTGCTGGGTCGACGGCAAGCAAGCGGGTCAGAGGTGATTCAAGTGGATCTTCCCCTTTGACACAAATACTGAACAAGGGTGCAGATATGTGTTGGAGTGGTGTGCCACTGAAGACAGCTTATCCAAGAATTACTGCAGCAATGGAGAAAGGAGTGACTGCCCTTCAAAACAAGGAAGTACAGCAGCGTGAGTCAGAGGTGAAACAAACTCAGGCTATTGCTGCTGCACTGCAGCTGTTGGTGCGGCATGGTTCGGAAGGCACAGCTGTTGGTGCGGAACGGTTCGCAAGGCAAGCAGCAGAAGAAGAAGACAAGAAGAAGATAAAGCAACAGAAGAATGGGCGTGAAGATACTTCAGAATCCATGGGCGAGCAGCAACAATAGTCACGATACACACCGCCACAGGAGCCAGACGACAATACACACCACCATGGACTCCATGTATTGTATGCACAGATGTAAGGTCTTTTCAAAGAGTGGGTACCACAAGATAGGAGTGGAGCCAGCAATCCAGCATAAAACGGCATTCAGAATGACGACGACGAGTTCAAGGTGATGTCATTTGGCGTCACCAACACACCAACACACGAACAATCTCCCAGCGAGCAAGGAATGATCTGCTCAGGAAATACCTCAACATTTTATGGTGGTGTACACAGAACATCCTTGTGTTCAGTCGCACCTAAGAAGAGCATGAGGAGCACACGAAGCCGGCATTTGAAAAGTTGAGGCAAGGGAAGCACAAGATCAATGCAAAGAAGAGTGAGTTTGGGAAGGTCCAGATCCTATACTTGGCACATGTCATTGCTGCTGATGGGATGAGGCCCGAGCCCAGGAAGGTGGAAGCAGTCGCAGACCGGCTGAGAATGAAAAAAGATTACAGTGGCGCGGTCATTCCTGGGGCTGACAAACTAGTACAAGAAGTTCGTTGAAGGTTGTTCCATGATCGCCACACCAGTAACAAATCTGACAAGGGCAGACAACCCTTTCATATGGACTGATGGGTGTAAGTACTAAGTAGGCCTTTCGGGTTCGTGGTCAAGAGAATGGTGTTGGTGAGATCCAGGCATCCAGGGTACTGATCAGATCGAAACACTCTGGTTATTTGTCAGATCCAGACATCCAGAGTGGTATCTGGACCTTCCTCATGGCCTGGCCTGGATGATGTCCAGATCTGGGTCTGACTTAACCATGATCAACGCTGCAGAGCAATGCATCTGAAAGTTTCAAATACCCAGCCCACATGGGTAAATGGTACAAAAATGTAAATGTTGATAAACAGATCATGAGCTCGAACCCTCTGATCGAATCAGATGAATACAATATCATGTTGGGGCTGCCCCTTGCCCCCCCCCCCCCCAAAAAAAAAAAAGAGCCTTACCATCATTAGATACCATGTGTCCAGTATCAAGTTGAGGTTGTAACCTTCTAAGCCTCCAATGAATCCAAGACGATTGTTGTGGGAGTTCACAGCCATATCAAAGATGGTTGCATTCGACCGAGCGATGAAGACAACTGGATCATCTGGTCTACTCTCCGTTGGGGCTGGTAATGGCTCAGGCCGTACGCCAACCAAAACAGAGGGCTCCCCCTGCATGAACAACAACGGCAATCCCATTCTCCCATTCACCCCTTCTCCCCCACAATCCCCCACAGCACAACCATCCACATCAACATCCATGCAACCACAATTTTGATCACCCACCAGCCCATTCTGAGTGAGCTCATCTGCTTTACCTTTCCTTTTGGCTGAATGTCATGCACATGTAAATAATAAAATGAATAAATATCAATGAACAAATCACGAGTTCCAAACTTCAAATCCTGGCCACTGTCATGTGGCTGCTATCAAAATACATGGAGCTGCTCCACTTTTAGAAAAAGAGTGACCTCGCATGCTGGCATCCAGCTATCAAGGTATCACATGCAAAAGCTCTGTGAGGGTCCGTGATGCCAAAATGTGGGCATCACCTACCCCCCCAAACTTTTCCCGTGATCCATCACTTTTCTTACCAAGATTAGGAATGAAAATGAATTGCAAAAACCACCCACACAGTCACCAATTTGTCAGACGGCTTCGATTTTCTTCATCATGTTTTGAAATTTGGCTGTTACTTCTCCTGTAACACCTTTGTTGTTGTCACACTCATTTCATAACTTCGTGAAACACAAACCACGAACTGCTACAACGGATTCAATTTTTTCCACCCCATTCTGAATGTTACAAGATGGGTCCTCACGGCTCTTCCTGCAAGAATTAGAACTTCGTTCTCAGATACCTCACAGGTCACATTTTGCAGGTCGCTCAAGGAATGGATACAAGCATAAGTTGTTTCTCTCTCATAAATTGTTTCTCTCTCTCTCTCTCTCTCTCTCTCTCTCTCTCTCTCTCTCTCTCCATATATTGTCACATCACTACAAACTAAAAGAGCGCACTTTGCGGAACAAAGAATAAAAGCAAAAAACGGGCACAGTGATAACATGCAAAAATAAAAAGAAAAAGAAAAAACAAGGGCAGATTGAAACCATTAA